GCTGCCCAACACACACAAAATCCCTCTGCGGCAATCTGGAATCATCTGCACTGGCTCGTAAGAAAGAGGATTATCAAAGATGCAAGCGGTAAACCCCAGTTATATAGGGACCTCAAAAGAGGTCCAACCAATCCTCAAACAGTGATTGAATATCATCCAGATATGGGAGCTAAGATGGTGTCCGAACGTCAAACCCACACTGTCCTAAACATGGAAAATGCAGGGCACCGCCCCCCTGAATTCCAGTGCCCCACTCCATAGTGCGAAGTGAAATCACGCATCGGTGGACCGCTGACTCACTGGGGAAAAAGCATGCCGCAGGGGACCCTGCACCACCCACAAACGACAGTACAAAACTGCACTCACCAGGCCCGAAGGTCAGTGGTGCAGCCCCAGCGTGCCGGGCACCAACATAGAGGGGCCAAGAACCCAGATTCAAAGCTGCCTATCCCCCCTCCCCCAAATGCCAGGAGGCAACAACAACAACAACGAAGTCATCCATATAAATTTCACAATATGCATACATATATCAAAAGTATACAAATTGTACAGAATTACATCAATAGGAGACAGGAAGATAATGAAAGAGCCAGAAAGATCTCAGACATGGGCACCTGACAAAAAAATAATAAACATAAACTGTTAAACACAGCAAGATGAATGGGCAAGACAGGAGCATATTGTGGAAATAATTTTTCTATACCACCAGAGACGAACCCTTGCTAAAAGGGCCTAAAATTAACTGATTTGTCCAAACCAGGGGAGAAGTAGCTTGTAGATGGAAAATCCATCTAAGCTCCAACTGCAATAATAGTTTGTTCCAGTCACCCCCTCTGCAACCTCGGTGTACCCAATCGAGAATGAGAAATTAGGTCGAGGTTCCTCTCTCATGTTTATCTATATTTTTGACTTTTTGCTATTAAACATGTCCAGTAAAACAATTTAAAAAAAATCTCATTTCATCATAAATTTAGGCCAAAATCTATTCTGCTACATGTCTTTGCTAAAAAAAAAAACTCAATACGTGTACATTAATTGGTTTATATGAACGCTGTAGCGTTTACAAATGGCAGTATAAATAAAGGATTTTTTTTTTATATTAATAATGGCGGCAATCAGTGACTTATAGCGGGACTGTGCATTCTGACACTGGGGGTGAACTGATTTGATGTTGTAGTAGCAATTTTGGCAAACCAGAGAACTCCGGACACGGACTTGAGAAATACAAATGGTTTATTAAAAACAGCACTGTTTTGACTCAACAGACAGCTTGTGCTCTCATCTACTAAGTGAGTTATAGAAAACTTCTTACAAGCGTATGTATCACTGATTACATCACAAGGCATACATTCCTCTCTAACCCTCGGTTCACATATATGTGGCCGTGCGGGCCGCATTTTGCACGGGCACGAGAGCCCATTCATTTGAATGGACTCCCATGCCTTTGACACGCAGGGAAGAAGTCCCTGTACTTCTTTTGGAAAAAACCTTGGTTCCCAGTACAGTTGCGTTTTTCAGTGTGGGCGGCGTGCCATTAGAATTAATGGCACCCGCCCGCAGGTCCGCATTTCTCTGCGGGTGGTGCAGCTGCACGGATTTTCGTGCGGATCCGCAGCGGCACCACCCGCACAGATGTGAACCTAGGGTTACTTTCTCTACTTTCAACAGGTTTCCTAAACTCTGCAGCATAACCTTGGACAGCAGCTGCAGATAAGAATCCCAGCTATGAAACATACACATAATACTCACAGGAAAAAAGGGAGGGGGGAAGATGAGCCAAAAACCTTGCTTTTACAAACGCAGGCTGCTAGAAGTGTTAGAGTTAAAGGGGAACTCTGCCATATCTGGGTGCTACCACAGAGTCACTGACATCCCCAGTAACACGAATACAGTGATCAGTGCTAATAAAAAGCAATGACACTTTACAAATGGCACTGGGCAGGAAGGGGTTAAAATCTGGGGTGATCAAAGGGTTAGCTGTGTGTTGTTTTACTGTGTGTGTACTTTACAATGTAAGCACAGTGCTGTTTATGGCTCTGCTATGCAGAGCCATACACAGCAGTGTGCAGGAGCTCACAGGGAAGATCTCCCCCGTTGGTGATACTCGGAGATTGCCGGGTGCCAGCGGGGAATCACCGGCCAGGATTCGGTGATTGACAGCCGAGAATGGCGGCGTAGGCAGGGCTGCAAAACTGCATAGATATACATAATTTTGCTCACAGGTGCCACATTATCCATAACTATCTTAATTTCTTTTTATAGCAGGGTGAATTCAGACAAATAAAAGTTCTGATTTCCAAGCCTAAAACAAAACTGTTAATATGTTATATTTAGATATTAATCTCAATATACACTAGAAAAACATTTTTAGACAAGAGTTCATTGATGTATCCTGATTGTGCAGCTGATTGTGTAATACAGTATGTGCCCCATATACAGTATATACTAGAATTATTCTTTTATCTATAGTTTATAGTTGATTATGCAGATACAGTGTGACTCTCCCATCTACTGTATGTGATAGTATACCAGGAAAGAGGGAAGACTGCATAACATGTCTGTTTAGACTTGTCTTGATTTCCATATTATTCTGTTGTTTAGGTGTCATTAATCTGATTTGTAAACCTTATCCACAGATGAATCTATTCATTCAGATGATTAATGTGACACATTAGAATTCAACTTTTATTGGCCAAACCAGTCTTTTTTTTTCAACTAATGCTGGGCTGTTCTGTATCTCAATGGCTCGGAGGAACAGTAAAGCTGACCATAAATGGGTAGTTTTTTTCATTCAAGGACACACTAAGTAATGGAGGAATACCCCGCTGGGAAATTTTCAAACTTCAACAGAGACAGCTACACACTGATTTGGCTGGTTTGTTGCAGCTTTAGACTGCATTCACATCTGGCGTTTTGAGATCTGGGGCAGAATCGCTGCGATTCTGCCCACAATCCCAAATCACACTGCAATAGTGCTATTCATTTTCAGTGGCACCTAAACGCAGTGCAGTACTGCCACGATTGTCAGTAAGCGATCAAGCGATCAATCGCGACAAACCCCATTGCGTGAAGTTTGTCACCTAGAAGAAGCTTCTGCTCCTTTTTTAAGAGATAAGCTCTGCGCTATGCAGTTGCTGCGATTGCAGCACGATAATCAAAGCAGAACCACACTTCTTTTAGGTCTTATTGAAAATGGCACTCAAACATGTGTGGTGCTTTTTTGCCACTGCTGCAGTGTGATTAAGGATCATGGGCAGGAGGAGGCCTAGGAGCAGGGGTGGACTGACCATTTGGAAACTCGGGCACTGCCTGAGGGCCGGGGTCAGTAGGGGGCCCCATGAGATGCCCCTGGTACCTTTTCCATAGGCTTTTTTTAGTTTGGGCAAGGACACAGGGGCCCCATGATCCCCTATTGCATGGGGGCCCCATGAGTTGTCAGTCTGCCCCTGCCTAGGAGTCAGGAGAAACTCGGTAAGTGTTTTGAGTGTTCAAGTATTAAAGGCGAAGTTCAGCTTTTGGAGCATGTTACACCCATATGTAGGGTATAACATGTAACATACTCCAGAAGACCCCTCCCCCTTTTGACAGCGAGCAGGGGTTCCTCTCCCACATCCAATGTCACTTTTCAAAAACTGCACAGCTGTGCGAGGCTCTGCCCACAGAGCTGTGTCATTCAGTCGCAGTGATCTGTGAATGAATGAACTATAGGTCCTGTCTGGCACAACCAGGGCCATGGATAAGGGGCCCAGGTCAGCAGGGGAGCCCAGGCAGCTGGGTGAATTGGATGTGGGCAGGGACAGTGATCAGTATGGTGGTAGGGGCAATTATTGGAACCGGTCCCCTGTATGACTCTCTCTGCAGCAGCTAAAAGTTGACTTCTCCTCTCCCTCCTACTGGCTTTCAGCTGCTGCAGAGAGAGCCATGCAGGGGAGCGGTTACAGTAATTGCCCCCCTTCCACACCCATCACCCTCCCTGTGCACCATACTTTTTCCCCTGCTACCCAGGCCCCCCATGTGCACTCACCCCCACAGTGCTGTCAGCTTCCCTCCTCTCCTTTCTGCAGCTGCAAGCACACAGTAAGATCTTTCAGGATGGATAGTGGGGGAACGGTCCGGTAAATACATCACATTTATCAGCCCCTTCCTTTCCCAAATGAACACAATGAGTGATTGGTACCAATCACGCACTGTGTACATTCATAACTGAAGAATAGTAAACTGTGTTTTTTTTGGAAGGGGGGCCCCTGCCAGGTTGGCTGTAAGGGTCCCCGTGGGTTCTAACAGCAGCGCTGGCCAACACAGAAGGCTTGTAGTTCTCAATGAATTGCAGGGGTGCTGATGAGCACCCTTGTAGTTTATTCGCAAGCTCTACAGCATTCAAACAGACAGCCCATACAGAGGGCATATCTGCAGGAGCCTGACAGTGAACCATGATCCACTGATAACGGGTGTAATGCTCTGCAGGCTCCTGCAAGAAAAATATTAGGTGTATTTTGGTGTGACAATCCTCAAATGCACGCAATTGCAAAACAAAACTTTCACAAAATAATATGATGCAAATGCAGCCTTGAAGTTGTTACCAGAACAGGAGGTAAATAAGGACACCTGCTCTGGTGACAACTGTCTAAGAGAGGATTTCACTTCTCTTTTGATATATTTCCTCTTATTGCCTGTTGTGAGAAAGGAAAACGTGAGAAACAGACATAAAATCTTGAAGGGTTTTTAACCACTTCCTACTCTAGCCAAAACTATAAATAAATGTTTTGGCTTTATATATATTTTAACCTCTTCCCCCACCTCCCTATAGCACAAATACTGCTACAGGCCGTCAGGGCTGTGCAAAATTACGTATATATAGGTGATTTCGCATTTCCGGGTAGGGGGCGCACACGCGTGCTGCTCTAACTGCACCGCCATTGGCGGCTACAACTGTCAATCACTGGGTCCCGGCCGACGATTATCTGCCAGCACCCAGAAATTGCCAAAGAACACTCACAGAGGAGAGGTCTATATGTAAACAATACAGATTTCTCCCGTCAGCTCCAGCATGCTGCTTTGTTTTGCTCTGCATAGCAGAGCAATACAAAGCAGCATGCTTACACAGTAAAGCACACACAGTACACATAGTAAAACAGCACACAGCTAACCCTTTGATCGCCCCAGATGTTATCCCCTTCCTGTCCAGTGTCATTAGTACAGTGTCAGTGCTTTTTTTTTAGCACTTATCACTGTATTAGTGTCACTGGGGATGTCAGCGACAATTAGTCAGGGTCAGTTAGTGTCAGAATGCCAGCTGCAGTCCCGCGATAAGTTGCGGATCACCACCATTACTAGTATTAAATAAAAAATTTGTAGACGCTATAACTTTCACGTAAACCAATTCATTTACATGTATTGGGATTTTTTTTTAGCAAAGAAATAAATAGAATACATTTTGGCCTAAATTTATGACGAAATTTGATTTTTACATTTTTTTTTACTAGATATGTTTTATAGCAAAAAGTCAAAAGTATTGTTTTTTCAAAATTGTCATTTTTTTGTTTATAGCACAAAAAATAAAAACCACAGAGGCGATCAAATACTACCAAAAGAAAACTCTATTTGTGGGAAAAAAGGACATACGTTTCTTTTGGGTGCAGCGTTGCATGACCGCACAATTGTCAGTAAAAGTAACGCAGCACCATATTGCAAAAAATGGCCTGGTCAGGAAGGGGGGTAAATCCTCTGGAGGGCAAGTGGTTAAAGGTGTCTATAGGAAGTTTTGCCCTTTCACCTTAAAGTGGTTCTAAAGGCTGAAGGATTTTTACCTTCATGTATTCTATGTATGTGTCTTATGGATGCATAGAACAGCGGCTCAGGGATGAGTATACAGCGGTGCCCCCAAGGTGAGCGGCTTTTCCTGGAGGCACTGCTCGAGGGGGAGGAGCCAGGAGCACTGTTGGGGACCTGAAAAGAAGAGGATCAGGGCTGTTCTGTGCAAATTTACTGCACAGAACAGGAAAGTATACACATGTTTATTATTTTACAAAATAACCCACAAAAAGAAAGACATCATTTTATTTACCATAAATAATAATAAAAAAAAGGTAATCCATTGTAGTCTTCAATTCTCTGGTAATCTTTTTAGCATTTCTTTTCACATACAAGAATAACACCAGCAGAATTTTCACCAGCCGAGCACACCACAACCCATGGGAGTGATTGCGGAACGCTGCAATGAAAGAGCACTGGGAAGGCCCAATAGGTTGCTATTCAACATGAATAGTACTGCAGCACAGTGGTGTAAATGAGCCCTAGTGCTGAGGAATTTGTTCTAAAAACAAAGTTAACATATGAACTCAGTGAGTGATTTCCTAAAGATATCCAGGAAACATGACACTAAGACCCTGATTTATTGTGCCTAGGCACATTTCTGTGGGCTAATGTCTACTTTTTAATAGTGACCGTCTACTTTTAGACTGCAAAGACATTTACTAAAGAGAAGCGTCAACAAGTAGACTCCAAATCGAATTTACTAACGAGACACAGATCAGGAATCAGACTCAAAAAGCAGACTTGCTAAGAAGCACGTCTACCACCATGAAAAATCACTGCAGAGACATGTTCACATTGAAATTTGCTTTCACAAATATCAGGACTTCACTTTAAACAATATCTGACATTTCAAAAAAATTTTAAAATGTGTAAAAAATTGTTTTTTTAAAGCAAGTTGTCACAGTGAAGAACTAGAACTTTTCCAGTGTCTATGGCCGGATATAACTGAGCATGTGCAGAACAAATTTTAGACGTCTTCTGTGGGCGCTTTCTTTTTAGACCTTGTTCAATAGTAAATCTCTGTGTGGAATCCACTGACAGATGGCACTCGATCACGTCTACTGTGTTTAACAAACAGCACTAGGCATATCTTTATGTATTCTAATTTGACTTCCTTAGTTCTATTGATTCTATTTTTGTTTCTTATTCTTTATATTTTTTTCTGTAATGATTTTACTTATTTTGAAGGTCTAGATAATATTTATTTTGACAGCTGAATGTAAAAATAAAGGTCTGCAATAAAAAAAAACTGCGTGGGGTCCCTCCTCCCATCCATACCAAGCCCTTCGGGTCTGGTATGTATATTAAGGGGTAACTCCATGCCGAAATAAAAAAAAAACAGTGTGGGGTTCCCCCAAAAATCCATACCAGACCCTTATCCAAGCATGCAGCCCGGCAGGTCAGGAAACGCGGGGGGGGGAATGAGTGAGTGCCCCCCTCTCCTGAACCATACCAGGCCACATGCCCTCAACATGGGGGGTGCTTTGGGGCAGGGGGGCTCCCCCCAAAAGCACCTTGTCCCCATGTTGATGGGGACAAGGGCCTCTTCCCCACATCCCTGGCCGGTGGTTGTGGGGGTCTGTGGGCAAGGGGCTTATCAGAATCTGGAAGCCCCCTTTAACAGGGGGGCCCCCAGATCCCACCCCCCCCTATGTGAATGAGTATGCGGTACATGGTCCCGCTACTAATTCACAAAAAAACAAAGTGTAGTGTAAAAAACCACAGGACACGGTCTTTCACAAGTCCTTTAATAAAACAATGTCCCCCCGAAGTAGATCCAATGTCAATCACGGTGTCAGGCGCCATCAAGCCGAAAAAAAAAGAAAAAAAAAAAAACTTTCCGCTCCCGATGGAGGCTCACCAGCCTTATGCAGTGAGCCAGGGTGATGTGGGGGGGTGGGATCTGGGGGCCCCTTTGTTAAAGGGGGGCTTCCAGATTCTGATAAGTCCCCCGCCCGCAGACCCCCCACAACCACCGGCCAGGGTTGTGGGGAAGAGGCCCTTGTTCCCATCAACATGGGGACAAAGTGCTTGGGGGGGAGCCTCCCTGCCCCAAAGCACCCCCCCATGTTGAGGGCATGTGGCCTGGTATGGATTGGGGGGGGTGCTCGCTCATCCCCCCCTTTCCTGACCTGCCGGGCTGCATGCTCGGTTAAGGGTCTGGTATGGATTTTGGGGCGAACCCCACGCTGTTTTTTTTTTATTTCGGCGTGGAGTTACCCCTTAATATCCATACCAGACCCGAAGGGCTTGGTATGGATGGGAGGGAGGACCCCACGCTGTTTTTTTTTTTTATGGTGCTGGTTTTTAAATGTAATTCTGGCTTTTTTGGTCTTCACTATAGCTCAGAAATTCAGCTGTCACTTCCCCCGGCTCAAAGAGAAAGTTTTGTTTGAGTTTATTTCCTTAAAGGTAACAAGGTTGACTTTTAGTTAATTAAAATGAAGAAATTGTTCTATAACTTCGGGCAAAGTGGCAGCTAAGCTTGTGAACTATAGTGAAGGACAAGAAAAGGCATGCCATTAGCATTGAAAAATCAGCACTGACATACACTTCGTATTGTGAACCAAATTATTCCAACATTTGTAAACCGACCAATTAATTTTAATGGTTTGGCATTTGTACACCAAATATGACGTTCCCCAAGGTGTTGGTAAACCAAGGTACGCATGTATTAGTATTGCAATCCATTGTATTGGGATACATAGAACAACCAACATACATCGGAATTGGCAACATAGCACAACATTTGTGTCACATTGGAGATATCTGGCTAGTTACACTGACCTTGCCCAGGGATTTAGGATTGATTCACAACACAGAAATACAGAGTGGCTTAGTATTGCAGCTCTGTGGATTAGTGGTTAGCACTGCTGCCTCACAGTGCTATGGTTGTCGGTTTGAATCCCAACCATGGCAAGAAAGTAGCATAAACTCCCTGTGTGGCTGTCTTGAAATAGATGTTCTGGCAACATCTTTGCTTTCTGTCTAAATGATCCCTAGAATGAAGCCTTGTCTGTTGAAACACCTTCAAAGCTGCACCTAATGTGAATGTCATACAATGGGATGAGATAAGGGCCTGGGCTACTAATAGATTTGATAATTCTGGTTTACACTCCACCCCCTTTTGTGAAGGATTTGTCAAGCAAAGAGCTGAGAGAGAGAAGAGGGAGCAAGAGATACATACTGAAGAGTGATAAAGAGAGACATACAGAAAGAGTGAGAGATACATACTGAAGAGTGATAAAGAGAGACATACAGAAGAGTGAGAGATACATACTGAAGAGTGATAAAGGGAGACATACAGAAGAGTGAGCGAGAGATACATACTGAAGAGTGATAAAGAGAGACATACAGAAGAGAGAGAGAAAAGGCTTGGGTGGGGAATCCACACATCAAAATTGTTACAAATACTGGTGTGGATTTTTCCCCCAAATGCATAGCAGACACTTATCCGAGCAGGCAGGTACCACACGCCTTCAAAGATTTATTTCCTTTGTTGATTTACCTGCTTCACTCACACTATATGCAATTGAAAATTGCGCTTTAAGTTGCCAATTTTACCGTGTTTTCTAGAGATTTTCAAACTAGTTGTGATTTCAGTTGTGTTTTTTTTGCATTGCGATTTCCATTGGAGTCTAGATGTGAAATTGCTACTAAATGGCCCAAAAGTTCAACAAGAACTACCTTTGAAATCGTGCTGCAACAAATCGCGTATGTTAATACACTCACATTCACATTCATTATATCCGATATCAAGTATGATGTCAATTCACGAATCGCACCTGAAATTGTACACCCTGGATGCGACTTGTCATGCGATTGACATGGCCAGCAACTTGCCATTTGCATGGCAAATTGCACACAATGTTACTGGGGGCTAACACCACTGTCACATCTAATCTGATGTGGCAATTGCCCAACTTACAGTGAAGTTGCACGAGTTCACAATCCAATTGGATGTGAACAGAGCCTACAGTGGACTATAGGGTGCGACATGGTCTACGATTTGCAAGTCACCTGTCATGCCAATTGCTTGCCAAATCGCAAACAATGTTACTGGGGGCCACCCGGTCACATTAAAGCAGATTTCTAAGTGGTGTTATTTACACTACAGTCACATCATGTGACTTACAGTGAAATATCCTTGATCTCATCTTCTCCAACCGCTACACTCCCCACAACCTCATGAACACCCCCTTCCCTCTCTCTGACCATAACCTGATTACTGTCTCTATCTCCTCGTCCTCCAACGCCTACCCCTCCAAATGTCACACTACTACCAGCCGTAACCTCCGCAACCTTAACCCTGCCCCCCTCCAATCTGCAGCTGATCAACTCCATGACAGCATCCTCCCCCTGTCCTGCCCCGACTTGGCTATGACTGCCTACAACAACGCGCTATCAACAGCCCTTGACTCACTAGCGCCTTTAACCACACGCAACATCAGACCCCGACCGCTCCAGCCCTGGCAGACTGATCACACCAAAACCCT